CATTGAAGAACTGGGTGGATACACTCAGAAGCTCTCAGAGAGAGGGCTTCGGGCATGCACAGGTCTCACCCTGAGCCTGTCTTAGGCCAGTTGGTTGCCCTGTGATGTTAGTACTCCGGTGCCTTCAACAACAGATATACTTATTGACGTTCTGGCTTTTGTTGTAAAATGAGAGCAATGCTCTTTTCACCTCTCTTTTATCCCCAAGCAGAGCCTGAAGTCAGTGGGATGAATTTGAAATAAAAAGTAGAGGGGCCAAGCACGGTGGCCTGTGCCTATAGTCTCAACTACTTGGGAGAATTGCTGAGCCCACAATTTCAATGTTGCAGTGTGCTATGATCATGCCTGTGAACAGCCCCTGCACTTCAGCCTGGCCAACATTGTGAGATCCTATCTCTTAAAAACAGACCAAAACAAAAAAAAAGTAGAGAGAATGAAATTGTAGTCTAGAATTGACAATATGAAATGAACTGAGAGCCTCAGTTCAACTGGATATTGAAAGGTGTGTAGAGCAACGATGATAGCAGTAAGTTGAAATTTTCTACAACTTTGCGTTCTAACACTCCATGAGATACCTTCTCCAACATTCTTTAATTGCTTCGCTTTCTTAAGATTCCTTGAATATTTCAGAGCTGAATTTCTCTATAGGAATAAAATTCTAATAAACATGTTGAAATTGTGAATCATTATCTTTGGGCAATTAAAAAAAAAAAGAAAGAAAAAGAGTTATCTGCTACAGGGAAGGAAAAGAAATACAGAGACTCCCATGACCCCTCAAATCTCAGAAAATGCTCCTAGGCATTCCAAGAGTAGGAGAATAATTGAACCTCATTTTTTTTTCTATTACAATATTCAACTTGATTTCTAGAATATTTTGGCTACATCCTTGATGAAAATGGTTACCTCTTACTCAGTAAAAAGCCTGTAGACAAGGTCATTGCCATTATTTCACAACAGCACCAATAAAAACTCTCTCATCATAACACCACAGAAATATTTCAGGTTTACTTAAGCAACTTAATAAAGAAGAATAAAACCCCTTTTACCTTAACCTACCTAACTTTTTAACCTCTTCAGGTGCCACAATTTTTATAATGTAGCAATCTGTCCATCTTATCTTATTAATTCTTTGTTCATTATTTCTTTTTTCACCTTGGTGTTAACACAATATGTATTATCAATTTAATGTCAGCAAATAGTTCATCTCATTGACGAGTCTTGGGGATTTGAGAGCAAGAAAGTTCGAAAAGAGCTAAAATGTCCATCTAGGACAAGATGTTCACTACAGAGATGATGAAACTGAGGTGCAGAGAAGCAGAGTGGAGACTCACTTCCTGTTCTGATTATTCTCATTATCTATGAAACTGAGGTGCAGAGAAGCAGAGTGGAGACTCACTTCCTGTTCTGATTATTCTCATTATCTATTGCTGTGTGATAAGCAATGGCTTTTTATTACTTTTATGGTTCTGTGGGTTTATTGGGCTCACCTGGGTGGTTCTTGGCTTAGATCCTTTTCAGCCAGAGTTCTCCAGAGAAAAAGAACCAATTATAGAGATAGGTACCATATATATATGTGTCTATAAGCTGTCCTCAGTGGTAACTTGCTCATTAAGCCCTCTTAAATCTGCTTCCTTTCCTTCTCTGTCTCATGTATATACTTAAAGGAATTGGACAATGTAATTGCAGGCGTTGGCAAATCTGAACTTTGTAGCCCCCGCTGGCAGGCTGGGAATACAGGCAGTAGTTGATGCAGCAGTCTTCAGGCAGAATTTCTTCTCCAGGAAACTTCAGTTTTTGCTCTTAAGGCTTTCGACTGATCAGATGAGGCCCATTCACATTATTGAGGATAATCTCTAATACTTAAAGTCAACTGATTTTAGATGTTAACTGCATATATAAAATACCTTCACAGCAAATTACTGGGTACCATGGCCTAGCCAAGCTGATACATGAACTAACCATTGCAGGATCTCTTACGTGGTTAGAGTCAGATGTGGGAGCCGCAGTCTTCTGAAGGCTCAGCTGGGCTGGACATCCTAGATCACTCACTCCCATGGTGTTTGCTTACTCCACATTGGTGGTTAATGCTGGCAGTCCATGGAGCTCAGCTAAGGCTGTTGAATTGCACACCCACCTGATCCGTCTCCAGCATGGTGGTTGGGTTCTGAGAGGGGGTGTCCCAAGAGCCAGCATTCCAAGAAACAAGAAATGGAAGCTGCTTGGCTGGTTAACACCCACACTCGTGTTAGTACAATATCAATGTCACTGTGCTCTATTGGTTAAAGCAGTCACAGGGCCCATCCAGATTCAAAGGGTGGAGAACTAAGTCCCACTTCTTGATGGGAGAGTGGCAAAGTCAATTGCAAAAGAACATGTGGGCTGGGAAATACAGATGCAGCTATTTTTGGAAAATACAATGGGACTCACCATTTCCATGCACATCAGCCCACCATCCAACTGCCAGCATCTATGTCCCTTTATCTAAGGGCTTTCTTTGGCCAATGTCTTCTTCGCCTCCTATAAGGCAAGTCCACAGTGTGGGCAGATAATGCCCACCCCAGAAGTCCTCAACCAGTAATTGGACATTACATTTCCCTTGTCCCTAAAGTAGGCATCTGCATTGCCTCCCAAAGTTTCTCTAGCAGTATAAAGTTCTAGTTGCATAAAATGATAACGTGCTTAGTAATTCACTCTGTATTGCTCCCTACCCTTCCTTGTTTCTTTTCCCTACTCCCCCTACTGTGTTGCTTCCTGAGATCCCTTCCTGAAAAATCTGTTTGCACTCATCTTGGGCTCAGGGTTGGCTTCTAGGGGAACCCAACTAAAGTAAGAGAGTGACTTGTTTAAAGTCACAGAGCTGTAATTAAGGGTCGAACTGACCTCTAGTCAAGAGTGCTTTCCAAACTTGCTACGTTCTGACACAACTTCAGAGAATTAAAGTGTTCAATTTTATTTAGTGATGGGGAGGGCCTATGAAAAAGAACAAATTAGATGTTTATGTTAGCTATTGTTTGGAAAGAGCACTGGACTAGGAGTCAGGAAATGTGGATTCTTGCTTTTGCAGTAGTGGTGAACAAGTTCCGTAACTTGAGCCTCAGGAGTGAAGATAAATTCTCATCTCGAATTCACACTTGTAGCATTCTAGTGAGCATCAAATGGGTGACGTGGGCAAAAACAGTACAGTGAAGAAAATAGGCAAATAAATGTAAGGAATTATTTTTTCCCGTTTTTAGTGACTCTACTCAACAAAATTATGTTTTAATTTTTTTTCAAAAGCTTCTCATATAGTCTTAATCCTCGTTCTACATTTCAGAAGTACACAATTGCCAAGTTCATCAATCCATGTGGTCTGGATAATTCAGGTTATGTTCAAAATCTCCAGTTTTAAAACAAACTCTTCAGATACAATTTTTTAACCAATGGCTCACTTTTACTAGAAAAAGCTCCTGGTATAGAAAGCCATCTCTCAGTCCCTGACAACAAATGCCTGGTCATTGCAGAACATATGTAGGCATGAACTGCCTGGATAAAGATAGTCAAGATATATTTCTCCATTGGCTTATGAAAAAATATCACATCCATAGTATGGCTTTTCCCCCTAGCTTCTTTAGGATGTGTGAATTTCACCTTGCAGTATGTGTGTGTGTGTGTTGAGTTTTGACACCCATCTCTTTGTGTGTTAGTGGACAGGATAGAAAAATGCAGACAACGGATTAATAGAAGAGAAAATAACTCGTGAATGGTCTTGGACACATTTAATATTATCAATGATATTCTGTGATAAAACATAAGCAGGGGGTAGGATTTATGTACTTGTTAGCTTACTAAATTGATCACACTTTCTGGTAGAAAAGTTAAATGCAATTTAGCTGCTGAGGATTTGGAACATGTCCCAGTTTGGTATTTGTTTATACTTCATATTTCTAAAAGGGAAAACAACTTGATTTGATCTCTGGTTTGTATAGAAAACTTGGCTTGCCAACTTAGTGAAATTCACAGCCCTTGCCCAGAGGAACTGGTCTTCTGCTAAAAACTGGCCTTGGTTTATGCTAAGGTGGGAAGAGACTTAATTTGGGAATTACATTTCTTCCAAAGACTAATTTCAAACTAGGTATATTTTTTAAAAGTTGGTTTGCAGATTCACATCTACACCACCTCTTCCAGAGGTGGAGGATGCTTTCCTTCTTGTTTATCGTTCTGCTGGTGTGAATGCTGAGAACTAATTACTCTCCTTTGTGACATTAAGACAACTTTTAATGAACATTTGTTTCTCCCATTGTATGGAATGAAATAATAAGAAGTTTTATTTAATTGGTTTATTCATTTAAAGAGATTCCTTTAATTGAAATAGAGAAAAGGAAAAATAAAACCCTAGAAAATAAAACCAGGTTCTAAGCACTCCAGGGTGAAACGTGTAGATCATTTTTAAAATGAATACCCCAAATTAAGAATTTAATTTAAAAAAATTATTTATTTCTCTCCCTCCACATATATAGTATGTGAAAGGCAAGAGAGACCCATTGAACTAGGGAAATGTTATCCTTTGAAATGACTTCAGTGATCTGACTCCATCTGTATTTCAACTTAACTTCACACCGTCCACACTGGGCAATGAAGGCGCACAGATTCAGGCCAAATTCAACCTCCTGAAAAACTGCAAATTAAGATGCTGTTGATTAAGCACCGCACCACCGGCTGTTTTAATCATCGTGATCAAAATCCAAATATTCAGGAAAGGGGCCCAGGAGGGATACGTTTGGGCTTTTGACAGACCCTCGACCAAACTCTGACGCCCAGCCTTCGCGTTTCCACATCTTTTTCCAGGCAAGAGGCTCCACCAGCCCGCGTGGGGCTCGCAGTGTTTCTCAAGAGTGGCTAGACATCCCCCATCCCCCAAACCCAGACACACCCCGACCCCCGCAAATGGTTCCGGGCAGTCAAAACACGCAGCGGCGTGTTCAGTTCCAATAACTCGCGTGATGATTAATGAGCAGCTTGATAATTTAATATCGCGTGTGATTAAATTATAAGGCGTGGGGGAGGGGAGCTCTGCGCCGCCTCGGCAGCCCAGCCGACGCCGACTAGCCAGCGGGTAGGGGCTGCGCGCTGAGCCGGCTCTTCCCGTGCACAGTGCCCGGCGAGGCTCGGCGAGCTGCGGGTCGGCGCCTTCCCAAGGTCAGTGGGTCTGGAGAGGGGAGGGCGGCGGGGTCGGGGTTGGGGAAGGGATGTCTTGCAGAGGAGAAGAGAGGTGTGGGAAAGGGGTAGTCTGATCTGAGCGGAAGAGCAGGACGAGCCATCGACTCTTTCCCCGGCAACGGCACGTAGAAGGCTGGAAAATGGCCTCAGGCAAGGGAAGATTTGTTTTTTAAAATTCGTATTTTCTCTGCCTTGGGTCTTAGAGAGTCCCTAGGATGCCGAGACCCCTGGGGGAAAGGGGCGCCCCTCTGGGTCTCTTTCTGGCTCCCGTCCTCCGCCCCCACCCCGTGCCTTGACTTTAAGGGGTTTCCCTGCATGCCAGGCCGAGGTGGCGGTCGGGCTGGGACACCCGAAGCCCCTTCTCTTCCCCAGCCTGCGGATCCCGGCCTTGCCTAGTGCTCGACAGGGTTCAGACAAGTCTGGGGGAAGAGGGGGTGGGTGAAGCCTGAGAGAGCCGGAAGCTGCGGGGAGGCGGAGAGATGCCCACAAAACTCTAGGCGCAGAGTCTCCGGGGGTTCCAGCCGGGTTCCTAGGGGAGGCGCGAAAACCCGATCTAAACTGAGGTTATTGGAGGGACTCCTAGCCGTCACTCTTTTCTCCTGAAAGGGTCGGGTAGAGGGGCTCGGGCGTGGCCATTCCTTCCCCTGGGAGAAGTGTGAGCGCAGGACCCGCGCCAGGTGAGGCGGCCCGCGACGCTCCCACTGTCCCCGCCGCTGCGGCGCAGTCCAGCCCCGGGCGAGGGAGGCAGCTCCTTTTGCCGCGGTGCAGAGCCGAGTCTGCGCGGGGGGCGGCAGCCTCACAGGGGTACCCCGAGAAGCCACTTGCGGGACACAGGGAGAGTCGCCTCTTATTCCATGACCGCATCGGAGGACTGAACTTTCAGCCTGGAGAGGGCAGGCCCTCGATAGGTAGGGATGTCCTCAGAAGACCCTAGGAAACAACACCCTGGGGGGTTGCTCAGACCTAGAGAGGGAGAGTGAAAATGAAAGCGTTCTGACCAAGGCTCCACCGGGCTCGGCGTCCAGGCCTTGCTGGCTGGATTTTCATCTGGGAAATGGCATTCGAAAGGAGATGCCGCGAGTTGAACCCAAGCTGCCGGCGTTCCTTCTGCCAGAGAGGCCCATGAAAGCGCCGGGAATCGCGCCCCTGTTGTCCAGTGCCTCGGGCTCCAGGTGCAGTGGCCAAATCTTCCTCCTAGACAGAGATGGAAGCTTCCTAGGCTGGGCTCCTTGGATATGCAGGCATGACCATTTCTCTCCCAGCTTCTCCAGATATTTGGAGGTAACACCAAGGAAGGGGAAAAATCATGAACAACCAAATGGGCTTGTAAACAGAGGGAAAAATGTGTGTGTGCGTGTGTCTTCTCTCAAAACACCCAGAGAGAGTATGTAGACAAAACCTGCCTAGCTAGAGCAGAAACAAGCCACGAATTGGTTCTAGGAGGCTCAGCATGAAATGCCCCAAATTAGCAGAGGATGTAGGTTGTGACAGCAATTTCAGGATATTTGGAACACACAAAAACCTTCTTAGGAAAACACACAAACCTTCTTAGGAAAACACACACACACACACACACACACACACACACACACACACACACACACACTAAGGGGAGGGCGGGAGGGCGGGGCAGAGACGTACTGGGAAGCCGCCCCGAGTCCTGGGCCCCAAGCCGCTGCAGACCTGGATGCGTCTTTCTCCCGCACTTCTCTGTCCTGGCCCGTAGGCTCTAAAGAGGAGGCCACTCCCCTCAAGGTGCGTTAGTAATAACTAATGAAGGTTTATGGACAAGGCCGTTGCTTGCGGCCTTCTCTCCATCTCTGGAGCTGGGAGTCATTTTAAGGAGAAGCGGCCTCTGGTATTATCCGTGTGCACGCTGGCGCTCCACCTCGGGGTATTGACGAGACCAAAGGCCAACGCGCTGGTTTCGGCAAGCCATTTTTGTCCTTGTTATGAAAATCATTCCTTAAATTTGCTCCTCATCTGTGCTTCTCTCAGACACAAACTGATCCCCTTATATCTGGTTCCATCAAACAGTGGCTGAGCCCACGGAGAACAATGTAAAAGCCTAAGACCAACCTGTTTCTCCCAAAGGTGCCATGCATTATAAATAATGTGCGCCTGGTGGACATACTATCTTTCCCAGGAATTACATTTGTTTTCCAGAAGTTGGACTGGAAAGGTCCTACACAGAAGTGAGTCATTGGAAGAAAGGACTGAGAATGTCAGTAATGACTTTGAGGTGCGGGGGTGGGGTGGGATAAGGGCGCCAAGCTGGGTTTTCTTTCCCAGTTTGTCGTTAGTCTGCAGCACGAATGAAGGAAGAAGAGTTAGTCTTATACTCCGTCCGTCCACAAGATCACTCAAGTCTAATAATGATTTCGGACACCTGCAAGATGAGTCGATCGGTGACTCGTGGGATGGCATTGTTCCTTCGACGTGCCAGGATGCGAGCGGTACTAGCTTTTCCTGTCTCCTGAGCGCAAGTTGGCGCACATTGATTTCACCCCTCGCTCTCCGCCTAGCTACCGAACACCATTTAGGCCAAGATCGGGTATAATGGGAAACACCATCAGCAGACAATTACCCTTTCAGAGGATTCACTTCTCCTCACAGACACTGTTATTTGAGAAATAGGATCATTTGATTTCATATTGCACTAAATAACACCCAGCCGGTTCAAATTGCCAGCTTCTTAAAAACCGCCCATTGGAATAAATTGCAGCGGCCTCTTTTGCTTTTCAGGGCAATATGATGGGCACCAGGCAGAACTTGGAAAAATAACTACCAAGCCAGACCCGAGCCGTGGCTATTGGTAGGAATAGCCCTGCCACCCCTCAGGCAAAGGCATCCAGCCACCTAGTTACCCGCCACCACCCCCTCCGTCCGCTCGCCAACTTTGAGATGATTCGACCTCTTGGCTTTGGAATTAAAATGCACAGCCCCAGCCACCCCAAGGAAGCGCTTCGAGCCACGAGGCGCTCTAGTGTTGAACAGAGAAAGATGGGCGGGGGCGTGAGACAAGCATTTCGGTTTGTCCTGCCACCATTGCTTGCAGCGTTGGCGCCTTTGGAGAGCGCCGCGGTTTGGGGCTCTGCGCCAGGGGAGTGCGCCCTCCAGCTTCGCGGGTCTGGGGTTCCTAGCGGCAGACCAGCCGCTGCACGGTGCACACCCATGCGCCCTCCAGGCCTGCCGGCCGCGACGTCCTTCCCCGCTCTCAAGTACAGGCGCCAAAGCCGGGAGTCAGGGCTCCCGGGTCCAGCTGCGGACAGAAAAAGGAGGGAGCCGCACTGGGGCTTCAAGCACCGAGTCCCGAAGGAGAGACAGGCGAGCGGGGTGAGCAGCGACCGGCGAGCTGGGGTTCACTGCACACCCACCACCACAGACATTTCAAAAAGAAGCCTTTTGAAGTCCGCCAGAGCTGCGATTTGTTAACTAACACTGCTCAGCTGCGTGACAATTGTTCCGCTCAATGGGGGCTATCCACCCCCTTCCCCCTCCTTTTTTTTTTTCTTCTAAAATAGGGGTTGACTCCTTGGTTCTCCATTCTTCTGTGCCAAGAAGCAGGATTTATTTAAGACAACAAGGGCTTTGGCGATTCTGTGTGTTGAAGTCTTTCTTACATATGTGAAGGCCGCATTAAATTCTCTCCAGGTCCCGGAGTCTTGCCGCTGCACCCCAGTTCGGGGGCAAGAGCTGGAAAGACCCTTTTAGTGGGTCCCTGGAGCGAGTTAGTCTGAGACTTTGGGGACAGGATGGGAGTCTTTCCCCCTCCTTGGCACTGGGAGGAGCCAGGGAGCAGGGGGTTGTGGGTACAGGGAAGGTTCCAGACACGTCGAGAGTGGGAAACTTAAATTCCCCTCTCTAGTGCAGGTGCAGGCTTTAATTCCAGGGTCTTTTCCGGGTAAGGTGTGGTGGCTGCTTAAGATGGTATGATAGACAGCAGGGGGCCTCATCGTGCCCTCAGTCTCCACTTGGCCTGGCGGTGGAGACACTGAGCCGCGCCGCTCCTTGGCGATTCGCCGGGGTCTCTGTTTGTAAACACCCCACTTGCGAGGCCCAAGTATACCTAAAACAAAATCTTGGCCCCGGGCCTTCAGCGCTGCCCTCCGGTCCTGAGGAAGATACCGCGATGTCCAGCGTGCAACGCCGCCAGATCTGGCTCTGCGTATCCGCTTCCAAGGATCCAAGGCCGGCCTGGGGCTATCCAACCGAGCCTAGGGAGAGCCCGAAGCCTGCTCCGTCACGGCCCCTGCCCCAAAGCGGTCGCGCCTTCACCCCGAGCTGCACTCCACCCCCACCCCTGCATGTCCCCCGCGAGCCTCCAGCCCTCTGCACGCAGCTAGGGAGCTCCGTTCCACCTCCCACCTCCTCCCGACAGTGGCGCAGCCGAGGAACGCTTTCTTGTCCAAGGCCGACCCCAAGCCCAATCGTGGCAGCTTTTCTAGGAGGCAGGAACCGGGTGGTTACATTAGAATGAGCGGGAAAACACTTCCTGCCCGGCTCCAAAGTTCGCTGCCTGCCCAAATGGAAGCGCTGAGCTCCCGGTTGGAAAGGCCGCGCCTCTAGCGTCACGATTCCGACCTGGGCGGCCGCGGACTGCGTCCCTGGGAGCATTTGAGGGGACTCCAGGGACGGCGTGGGTGGGCCTCTCCCCCCGCACGCGCCTCTGTCACTCTCTTTCGGGGTCAGAGCCGGGCAGCGTGTTAAATTAAGGTTGACCTCCAGCGCTGGGTGAGGTCTTGGGTCCGCTCGGTCCCGGCCCGGGAGCCCTAGGTGAGGGTGGTGGGAGTTTGTCAGGGGCTAGCAGGTCAGCCCCTATGCCCGCGATTCCTGCCTCCACCCCGATCGCGTCTAGGTGCCGGCCCCCGCGCTCCCTCCTTCGCCCGCGCTCCCTGCACTTCGCCGCGTTTACCAGCGCGTTTGTTCTCCTGTCGGATTCCCGGCCAAGGGGCTGTAACCGTGCTGTCCTCCGACGG